ATGGAGGACAGACTATAGTATAAAGAGCTTTGAGTAACCTGGTTGGAGAAAAAGATGCTGTATAAGTAAGTAAAGTCCATTTATCATTAAATCAGATACATATCCCATGTTTTTGATCTAAGCTAAGACCTGCAGAGTGAACACAGGCTTTATTATACAGCAGTGTTCTGACCTCATTCAGGAGCTCCGCCCTCTCCTCTGGTGCCCCTCCCATCCCTGGCTTCTTGGTGCCAGCAGGAGCCACTTTAGGTGCCACTTTTGCAACAGGTGGTCTCTGAGGGGCTGAGGAGACAAGAACCAGAAAATCACTCTTCATACAATATTTAAAAACTACACAAATAAAACAGAGAGCAATAATTTACAAATCACAATAAATATAAATGTCTACAAGTTATCTAAACCAAGAATCTGTAGACATTTTTTAAAATGAAAATAGATTATTCTGAGCTCAACCTTTACTTCTGGGGGATTCGGCTCTTCTACAATCACTCTTTTAAAGGCAGTCAACTCACTGACCTGCTGCCAGTTAGGGCTGAAATGATTCCTCCTTTAATTTGACTCACTTGATTACAAGAACACTCAAAACAATATATCTGCCTTAAAGTGTCATTACAAACACATGCTGTTAAAATGTCCTGTGCAGCTTTGTTCACCCAGAACGGTATTTGTGTTGCAGCGCTTCTGCTAATGGCTACACTGTTGACATGTGTATGCTAGTGGCTAAACTGTTGACATGCATATGCTAGTGGCTACACTGTTGACGTGCGTGTGCTAGTGGCTACACTGTTGATGTGTGTATGCTAGTGGCTACATTGTTGACATGTGTATGCTAATGGCTACACTGTTGACATGTGTATGCTAGTGGCTACACTGTTGACATGTGTATGCTAGTGGCTACAGTGTTGACATGTGTATGCTAATGGCTACAGTGTTGACATGTGTATGCTAATGGCTACAGTGTTGACATGTGTATGCTAATGGCTACAGTGTTGACATGTGTATGCTAATGG